TTTATCTATAAAACCCCATGTAATATTTTTAAAATAACTTTCTTATTGCTAAAACATCTTGTACCCATATATCTAAACACTTTATCTACGATTTCAAACATCAAATGTTTTTTTATGTCATGTTTTTGTTTTTTTTTTACTTCTCTTGTTTTCTGTCTGTATTTTGAAGGGGTCTGGTGAACTTTCAAGAGATGTGAATATTACATACACACTGGGTAATTTCGTTTAATTTTTTGTTTGGTGAAAGGTTTTGTGTTACCTGTACATTTGTACACATCTACATGTACATGTATGTACATTATGCTTGAAGTGTATTTTTTGTTATATTTTTGTTATATTATGCCAGAAGTCTATATTTGTTCCATCATACTGGAAGTGTATTTTTTGTTCCATTGTGACAATAGTGTTAAATTTTATTATACATGTAGATGCTGGAAATGTATTCTTTATTACATCATGTAGGGGGCATTTTCTCTCTTGTCATTTCGAAAGTGTATTTTTGGTCATGTATCATGTAAGCAGTGTACTTACTTTTTACAGGAAGGTGGGGGGGGGATATTTTTTTGTTAAATAGTTGGCAGTGTAATTTTTATTTTTTGTTGTGTCTAATCATTATCTCTACTACTAGTGTTCCCCTCGAATACTGACTTTACTAATCTCATTCATACTTCAAATATTCTTTTTAATTGATCATGATTCTAGTGTAACAGTCTAAATAATCTATTTAATTGAAATGATCCTGATGTCTAAAGACTTTTAGTTTGTATTAAATTCAACTTAAAATGAATCCCTTTAAATTTACCTTGCAGTGGGCATAACTACTTCATTTATTTACATCACCTACATGTACATGTATGTGACCTATGACCTTTACCTACATGTATGACCTATGACCTCAGATTAGATTGAGCTCAAGGAATAACGACAATAATTTCTAGTATTTAAATAGATAATTTATTTTTCTTTTTAACAAACAAAGACCAGCCCTTATCGTATAAATCTGACAATGCTAAACATGTTTTTAAATCCATGTTACAAATAGATCCCTGATCCCGGTCAAGACCCCAATTACTGTATCAAAGGTTTACAGTTTCGACTAAATCTTAAAGTCTGTAAGCAACATTGTATTTCCACTTTAAAGGCCCAATAAGCCAGATTGTTTACATGTTCATCCAATGTATATCTCTAAATTAATGTTTTTTTTAAATTTGTACAATGTTGTTTTAAAGATTACTGTTTCTACAAATGTTTGTAAAACAAGTGAAATGAAAAGAGGTTTAACGTCCTACTGTTCTGCTCCGACTGGGCTAATGCGGGCTGGCTAAGCCATACAGTGTGCTGTGAGGGAAATTTTGCCCAGGTAGCGGCACTATGACCTACACGGGACCTCGGTTTTTCATCCCCTCTGAACGACTAGACAGCTGTTCTTGTCAGGCCCTCCGTTCTGCACCACTGACAAGGGGAAACCACGTCGGAATGCAGGGATTGAACACACCACCTTCAGGCTATGTTTGTAATAAAGTAGGCATACATATCTGAGTGTTCAGAGAAACTTTCATGTTCATCCAATGGTTTTTTTAATCTGTATTTTTTCAAATTTGTATTTTTTTGCCTTTAAAGACTACTGTAATAAAGTATACATGTACATGTATATCGCGTATAAAAAGAAACTTTGATGAAGAATTAGCTGGCTGGTTGGATGAGGAATTATTATTACAGTACTACAAAATATATTATAAAATTCAGTCTAAAGATGACCCTATTAAACCACTTTAACCTTATAAACTTGAATAATATAATTAAAAAAAAGGTACAGGGCGGGGCAGGGCAGGGATCTTTTACTTGTACGCCAATGTACTATTAATTGTGTATGATCTTAAACTCTATAGAAAGTGCAGGAGGACCCCACCACACACAACACAAAACAAGACAAGACAACCCACGGACACAACTTTATTAATATATTAAATATAATAAATAGGTTTAAAGTTCGAAGAAAAAGAAAATGAATAAAATACAAAATCCCCAGACATTTCATACAAAACGTACAGATCAAGTGATTGAACTAACTTTATTTGTTTATTAAATATAAACATTTTTAAAGTTCAAAGAAAAAGAAAAAGAAAAAGAATGAAACAGCTAGACATGATCTGTTTCTCCCGATTACCAATAACCCACTAATCAAGGTCAATAACCCACTAATCAAGGTCGAAACCTCAATTACAAAAGGTCAAGTGTTAAAGGGAATATCTAGAATGTATTTGATGAAATAATTAGACTAGGTTCCTACATGTAGTAATGACATGTACATCCTCCACCTGTACAGGTAAACACAGGTAATATACTCGTTAACTACAGGTAGAAGGTTACTCATCCTACGTTTGCTCAGTGACTCACGATTCAGATAAAACTGTGATTCATACAAGATTTCATTATTCTAGTCCAAAGTACCAGTATTCATTCACCTTGATCAGATAAGAGAGAGAGATGGGGTTTAACATCCACTCGACACCCACTAGGTCATTTCGGGACTAACACATGGTTCAATTTTATTTCAATATTTCACTTGCACGTAGGGTTCTTTAGCAGTGGGAGGAAACCAGAGGACCTGGAGAAAACCCACAAGGTTGGACAGGCGACCCTACTCCTTGTCACATACAAGCTGGGAATCGAACCCATGCCAGTTGACTCAATGACAGACCTTATGATACAGCGCGCAGGTGCTTACCATTCGACCATTCCCCCCCCCCCCACATTGATGAGATAAAAACTAAGTTTAATTTTAATCTATCAAGGTGTGTAGCCAGAGGGGGGAGAAGCAGGGGATCGGGGTGGGGTAGACGGATCATAGATTTCATTCTGATAGTCCACTACATGTATACCAGTATTCATTCACCATGATGAGATAAAACACAGTTCTTTTTACTTAAAAGATAACGACCACTCGACACAAACTGGGTCATTTTGGGACTAACATGGTTCAGTTTTATTTCAATATTTCGTTTGCATGTAGGGGTCTCTAGCAGTAGGAGGAAACTGGAGGACCCAGAGAAAACCCACGAGGTTAGAAAGACTACCCTAGTCCTTGTCATGACCAATCCAGGCATCGAAGACGCAACCTCTAGGCTAGCGAGCCAGCGTCTTACCCACTTAGCTACCGTGGCTCTGTTGGGAGGATAATCATGGCTAGTCTTCACTGGAAAAATCATACAGTAATATTATCACAAATGAAGAGAAAGATCGTCTCACTGATTAAAGTTATATGTACCTGATAAATCTACATGTATGAATTCTATGATATAATTATATGTACCTGATAAACCTATGAATTCTATAACATAATTATGTTTCAAGTTTATTTCAAAGATAATTTCTTTATATAAATGTAATGTGATTAAATTTGTACGTAAAACTTGTAAAAAACCTGATCATGTTAAAATTAAGTTAAATAAAACTAAAATTGTTCATTAAAAGGAGAGTTGAGAGGTAAATAAAGGAGTCACGGTTTTATCACAAATTACTAAAATAAAGAAATACTATATGTTAGTCCCAAAATAACCAGGTTTGCGTTGAGTGGACATTAAACACTGTCATTCTCTCTGCGCCTCCCCCCCCCCTTCCACTCTCAAATCCAGTACGGGAATTCTCATGTTCACAGTAAAACATCAGTTTCGATGATATACCTTTAAGAACATGTACATGTACACACAGTATACATTGTATGTGTTTAACGGGGTTGGGTGGCCGAATGGTTAGCAGGTGCGCGCTGTATCATAAGGTCTGTCATTGAGTCAACTGGCGTGGTTTCCAATCCCCGGTTGTACGTGACAAGGAGTAGGGTCGCCTGTCCAACCTCGTGGGTTTTCTCCAGGTCTTCCGGTTACCTCCCACTGCTAAAGACTCTTACGCGCAAGCGAATTGTTGAAATAAAATTAAACCATATGTTAGTCCCAAAATGACATAGTTTGTGTCGAGTGGAGGATAAAACCCATTTTTCTCTCTCTAACGATAAGTATCCTCTCATGGTTAAATCAAGCATAATAGCATTTCTCTCTCTCTCTCTTTCTCTGTCTCATACAGTTGCAGATCATAAGGCCTGTCATTGAGTCAAGTGGCATAGTTTCGATCACTAACTTGGAAATGTAAATAAAATGAGGGTTTAACATCCTACTGTTCTGCTACTATATACTAGGCTAATGAAGACGTGCATACGCTATACATGTACATGTATGCAGTGTGCAATTTTAAGATTTAATGATTTGAACATTAGCTATAATTTTAATCAGCTCTACTTGTGTAAAGTGAGTGCAGCATGTACATGGTATTAAGTTGAACAGGTCAGTCAGTATAAAGTTAAATCTATTTTTTATACTATAGATTATATCTGTACTAGATATACCACAGTATTGTTTGACATCTGACATTTAATTACACTGTTGATACATGTATATATATATACACCAATTAAACTACAAGTTTAATATCTATATCAACTTAGTACAAATAAAATTTTACAAAGTTAAAACAACTTGGAGAGAGGGAGAGAGAAATGAAATGAAATGGGGTTTAACGTCCTACTGTTCTGCTCTGACTGGGCTAATGAAGACAGGCATATACATGTACGCCATACGGTGTGCTATGAGGGAAATTTTGTCCGGTCAGTGGCACTATGGCCTACTCTTATATCAAATTCCAACTGCCAAGGGATCTTTTACGTGCATGCCAATGTAGATACAGGGCCTCGTTATTTTTCGTACCATCCGAACGACTAGATAGCTGTCCTTGTCAGGCCCTCCTTCCTGCACCACTGACAAGGGAATACCATGTCAGAAAGGAGAGTACTGTACATGTATCATTAATTTGTTTCATATGGTTGGTTAGTCCACAAATGACAACTGAGGTATGGTGTTGACTGAAATCAAGGTTTTTGAGAGTTAAGGATGTGATATTCTTGTAGAGATTTAGTCCAACATGTAATAAGATAAATTTATTCTACTCACCCATCCCCATCTTGAAAGTTGATGTTAAACTTTTTATTGTTACCAATAATTTCTGGAAAACAAAGAAAAACATTTTTTTACAATTATGACAGGTTAACAAGTTCTACATACACTGTACAAGTATTGTGCAGCAAAAGACACAAATCTGTATTACGAACTGTAAAGCAGCTATTTGTACATGTACATTCTACACTTTGTTTTGTTTCCCATGGGCAGCCGAGAGTTTTGTTCCCGGTGGGGCAAGTGAGAGAGAGACATGGAGAGAGAGAGAGAGGAGGGGGGGGGGGAGAAAGGGAGATGAACAGAAAACACATCAGGTTAAGCATGTGAGTGGGGGTAGAACTCATTGTACTTGTATCTATGACAACAATAGATCACGGAGACCCAGTCTTTTAAAATGTATGCTACATGTATACAGTCTATTTTATTGTTATAATAATCAGGAGAAGAAAATGAAGAAATAAGTTCTTCCGCTACAAATTGTCAATCAAATTAATATAATCATTCATCTGTGACAACACATGCATTAAATCATTCAGACTCCTCCCCCTCCCCCTCATTGTTGTTTTAAATGTACATGTACTACAGTCTATTTCATTGATTACAAGGCCAGAAATAATTTCATCTTGTCAAACTGAATAAAACATAATCATATTCATCTGTGAAATTTCAATTTTTATAATTCAATAAACCTAAATGATAATATAATAAGTGATTTTATCAGGAATAATTCAAGTGTAATTTCAACACACAAGGGACTAGTGTATAATTGAAATGTAATATAATAATTTAGAATAAAGTGATTGTATCGAGAATAATTCAGGTGTAATTTAAACACACAAGGGACTATTACTACAAATTAAGCTAGGAGAGCATGTACATGTAGAACCCCTGTTGTGTCGTTTGCTACAATTAAAGTGGCAATCAGCAGGTCCCAAAAGTACTATCCTAAATTAATGAAACCTGTTGTTCAAGTCCGAGAAAACAAATGAGACAATCAGAGGTGCTATATAACATGCTTATGTCAATGGACCGCAAAATCAGTAAATTAGTGAAAAGCCACAGATTTGCTCTTTTTTCCTGGTGAAAGAAATATGTTTCCGTATTATTATGACCACATGTACATGTAGATACAACTTGTTCAACCAGACAGGTATGGTATGTAAAATTCAGAATTTAATAATATGGTAATTAAATTCAGTTCCTATGGCCAGCCCTTCAGCGATTAGCCTGAAACACACACATGTATTAGTACAGTGTGAACTCAAGGGGCCCCATGGCAGCCGCCCAGTGTACCCATCAAAACATGAAGGATAGACGACCCTGAATTTAGTATAGACAGTGTCCCAATCCTTGCTGGGTAGACTGCTAAGGCCCTTATTTAGCCCTTCGATGATACATGTAATATGAATATTTTTTGGCAAGTGATGAAATACGGTCATGATACAACTGTACATGTATAGACAGGCTCTAGTACCCTGGCAAATTAAACATTGTTGGTAAAAAAAACAAACAAAATAAAGAATTTTGATCATTTTGTTTCAGAGAATCTTCTTGGCAAAATATCGAGAGATGATTTGTGTGCGTAGAAACTAGAAATACAAAACGATGAAAAGATGATATGTACAATATGGGTTGCCAGACCTGTGATTTATCAAGTCCATCTACATGTACATGATGGCCCAATTCAATTTGATAGTCTGACCAAAATGGTGAATTCCAATAATACTATAGCGGCATTTAGTAAATAAATGGAGCAATAGTCCCAAAATGACCCTCCCTCCCTCCCTCCCTCTCCCTCTCTCTCTCTTTCCACTAAACAGACTATAAATTTTTTTTAAGGTTTTTGTAAATCTTCATTTTGTTAGAGATAAATACATGTAATCTTGAGCAGGATTAGAAATAATGATTTTAGTCAGGCACTACCCAACTACATGTACATGTTATAATCCTTTGGTAGCATTTAGTGATTGGAAACATAACAGAACTGACACAGTTATATGGAACAACAATCACTGGTTTATTATACACTAGCACAACGTTTCAATAAGTATCCTCACGCGTGAGTATAATAAACCTGTGATTGTTGTCCCATATAACTGTGTCAGTTCTGTTACACATGTAGTACCTGATATTATAAACTTGGTGCCAACCATGTATTAATAATATCAAACACAAAGAAAAACAAACTGCAGTGTGCTGGGAAAAAATCACAGGTAGCTAGTATAGAGGGATTGCATGTGGCCAAGCTTGAATTGGTGTCTGGAAAAAATGACAGGCACCAGATGAATTGTGTGTGACAATGAATGTTCCGGGCTAAATATTTGTCATTTTTCTCTCTCAATTTTAATTCTCTGGGAAAGTGTACTGTTTGTTCTGTCTGTGTACTGTTGCACAGTTATCCTGGTGTGTCTATCAGTAGTTGATGGAAATAGGAGAACCTGAAGAAATCCACCAGGTAACTAAGGTGATGAAATGTGTATTATAAAAACATCACCTGGATCAGCTGTTTTCTACTTCCTGTTTGTATGTACTGTCACTGGTCTATTATTACATATATAGTATGCTAATATAAACAATAAACTGTCTGTCTATAGTCTGTAGACAATCTGGTGTTGATATATAAATACAGGTACGTATATCATGGATGGGTATTGTTACATGTTACAAATGTACATAGGTACATGTATAAATACTGTTTTACAATTCTTGGTACATGTACATGCACTGATTGGATTTTGATGAAGAGTATCTGTACATGTACCTTTACAGTTAGTAGATACATGTACCTGTACAGTAGGTGGATACAGGTACTGATTGGAATTTGACGAAGGATACCATCCTGTACACAGAGATCCATCTACATGTACTTCAAATTTCGAGAATACATTCTTACCCTAAATGGCAGCCATATCCAAAAATTACAGTAGTATACTGTTCTATAATGCGGTTCTACTCTGTTTCAATTGTTTTACAATTGTCTTTTAATCCCTATTTCTTTATCTTTTTGGATTTATTTGATAAAAGGTACCAGAAATGATGCTGCCTGGTAAAAATGTCCCTCATACCACACTGTTCATGTAGGTAGTATGTTCATCTTCAGTAGCCAGGGGGTAGTATGTTCATCTTCAGTAGCCAGGGGGTAGAATGTTCATCTTCAGTAACCAGGTTGATGCAGACAAGAAGGATGTTAAAACTGCATTCTGGCTTTATTTGGTTTTCCAACCTCTGGGGGATCTTAATCGTGTTGTCAATGGTACATGTATACAGAACCTTGCCAGCCCCTACATGTCGGTTCTGCACCACTGGCAACGGAAAATTCGACAATAAAATACAGAGGAATTGTTCAGATTGGAGCCAGGACCTCCTGATTAATAAGCAAACGCCACAGTCACAGAGCCACTATGAATCCCTATATGGAATGCAAGTTACTTAATTCGAGCAAATAATTCTAAGTTCAGATTTGTTACTAAATCAAACTACATACATGTAAGAGAGAATTTATTAATATATCCGTGCACCGGTCTGATAAAATATATAAGTTACTACGATGCCTTTTTCTAGCCACATCCTCATTTCAAAAAGGGATTCTTTTGTCATAATTATGAAGTAATTCTAATTCCAAATGTTCTAACAATATCTTATTCCAATCCAACAAGATAACATGGAATTTATTTAATATGTCAGTGCACTGGACCAATAAAATAGATAAGTTCAATGTTTCACCGTAATCAGTAATCAGTAACCAGACGTCTTTCCTCCATTGATTTATAATCTCAGATCAATAAATGTCACCTCAATCAACCCCCTTTCCTACCTTAAAACCTCCGAGACAAACTGCTGCCCAGTAAATATTTATCTTATAGATTTGTGGATCCACTCGAGACAGGTTTTACATCTTATCATCATTAGTGTGAACCAATCAAAAATATTGTTTCAATCTCCAATCCGACAGTTATAAACCTTGTGTGATATTTTAACGTCATGTTGTGTTTGGTGGCAGTGGGTGTTCAATCTCCTATCCTAGAATTATAAACCTTGTTAACGTCATGTTGTGGTTCGGGGCAGGAATCGTGGCAGTGGGTGTTAAGTCCATAAAGATCAGTATTACATTTAATCCGAGAGATAATGTTACAAGTTCCATGTTTTATGAGTTCTAGATAAAACTTATTGTTCGACTGATGGTCGTTTCTACAAGTAATAAATCCACTGTATTAACAACTCGTCGCCAGTGAGTCATAAAATAAGACTTTTAATACATTTTTTCTCAAGCTTTAGTCTCCCAGAACAACAATGGAAACACATTTCTTTCAAGGAATAAAACAACCAAATTCTAATTTAATCTAAGCAAATAAAAATATCTTTTAAGAATAGGTTTGCTGTACTGTACATTGAATCTTTAATGACTCAGAAAGACTCATGATTAATCTACATGTACGCATGTAACTAAGTACATAAAAAACTAAGTACATAAAAATATCTTTTAAGAATAGGTTTGAGTTCACTGTTCATTGAATCTTTAAGGACTCAGAAAGACCCATGATAATCTAAGCACATAAAAATATATTTTAAGAATAGGTTTGATTGTACTGTATCTTTATGGGCCTATCATAGTTTATTACCTAGTTTGGAGGTCGCGTGTTCGATCCCTGCATTGGCCGAGAAAGTTCATCGGGATATTCAAGCGCGGTTTCCCCTTGTAAGTGGTGCAGGACGGAGGGCCTGACAAGGACAGCTGTCTAGTCATTCGGATGGGGTGGAAGACTGAGGTCCCATGTATACATTGGCATGCATGTAAAATATCCCTTGGCAGTTGGAATTCGATATAAGAGTAGACCATAGTGCCGCCGTCCGGACAAAAGTTCCCTCATAGCACACTGTATGGCGTATGTCCATCTTCATTTGCCCAGTTCGGAGCAGAACAGCAGAACCTTAAACTCCATTTCATTTCATTTCATTACTTTTGTTTGATCTGATTTTATTGTATTATTCTCAGGAAAATGTTGATATATTTATTAATGTTGCCGATACCAACATCTAATTTTTCATGGA